TATAGTCATTAACGTTATTGAAACTGACAGCTGCTATACAGCTCGTTGAGAAATGAGGTTAAGTTGGTCGCTATAAGCTACTCCCTACGTCCAATGTGTCAGAGCCAACTTCGACCACGTTTTTATTTGAACGCTCGTTATTATTCTGTTAATATTTGTGTATATTATATTTCCTCTAATATTAGGTACCGTAGTTTTTTGTTCAAGTGTACGCTGCCATAATGTATTGTCAAGCCTTGTTTTTGAGTTGGCCCAGTTGGCCTTCTATAACTAGGATGCCGTCCGATTTTCTCCTGACAAATACATCTAGGAATGACAGAGTACCATTTCCTCCCATTCCTATAGTAAAACTGATGTCCTGAATCTGATGTTATATTCATGAGATCGTCAATATGTCTGAATCATTACATCGGCTTTAAAATTGCTGACTTAGACTTTATTCCTGAAGAATTCCACGTAGATATTTACCAGATATGGAGACAATAATGACCAATAAAATTAAATGATTCAAGAATAATACCCTAATTGTATTGCCTTTCAAAGCTGAATGCACCACTCCTTCCGGTATGTGTTACATCAAATTAAAGATCTAGAAGGAAAGACGGAAAGCTATGTCAAAAATGTTGTCGATTTTGTTTATAAAAATCCATCCAGATCCAGATTATATTCTAGTGAGTTTTACGTGACGTCCTTGTTTACGCACGTGTCAATGAATGAAGCTTTAGAAGAATTTCATCTAAGGCTCATCGGAGAAGACTACACTTGAGTATAAGAACTACACTTGATAAAAGTATACACCAGATGATCTCCTTTAAGGATCAGTTTTATGAACAAACTGAAGGAGAAGCTATGACCTGGAAGTGTTGGTTCAGATATGTTGATACATTATTTGATCTCATAAATATAACAACATAGAAGGATTCCGTAACCACATTAATAGAATACATCCGGATTCACTATGGAGATTAAAGCAAATTGTACCTTGTCGTTCCTAGATGTCTTTATCAAGAGAAAACCGAACGGTATCCTATGGGACCGGAATGGCATTGATCAGTGCCCACATAAAATATAAATAGCTAGAGGACTTTCACAGTTTCAGTTTTTTCTGAAGAAGGGAAGTAGGGTTTTTACAGGTATGTATAGAGGCAAAAAAAGGCAGAACGAACGTTGCAATTATGGATTTTTCGGTCTGACTACATACATATGAAAGACTACGAGGTGTGACTTAACTCTATGATCATATAAATGTAGATGAAAATTGAGGTATAGTAAACTGCACTGATACGAGGCTAAGGTTGTTCGAATGCCATCCATAATATAGAATGCTAAACCACTTGTAAGTATTACACAGCTACACAAAAAAAAGTTTTTGAGTCTGAAGGTCAAGCTATGTTACTACATGTTTTCGGGGTCGCTGAATTCGAATCCGTGATCTATTTAATCCCATCACGTCTGGTTTTACCGATAACTCCATATCACCTCATAACCCAAGCTGTCAAGTTCTATTACACAGAACGGTCCAGTAAAGGGAGCTGTGGACCCACAATAACCCCATGATCCTATGCATTCAACCTCAAACCTCTTAACCCCATAACCATATGTTTTCATAATCCCATAACCGATAAATCCAATAATCACGTTACTCCGAAAACATATAGTAGACATAGTCTGACTTTCACACCCTCGAAAAACATTTTTTTTTTGTGTTATCGACATATCACTTTTCGATATCTCTTGTTGATAACAGAAATAAATCAAGCGGTAAATTTAAATTACTTACAAGTAATATTAACAAAAAATATTGTTTTTGTTACAAATTTTTTATAAACTACAAACTTATTAGTATACCTATTGGTAAATAATAAATACTTAGATGTAAAGTCTGTTATCTATTCTAATTTGTTGTTTAATGGTATCTTTTAATGGTTTTATTAATCAAATTTGACTTAATTTTATCGTTAATCTTCACTTTTGTTTTTCAGGAAACCACAAGTTTCGAAAATCATAACAATGCAAAAAATTTGGAGAGAGAATTTATAGAACCGACTGATATTGTTATCCAATAAAATAAGTGTTAAGAAGATATTTTAGAAATTTATTTTTAGAATATTTGTTTAGTGTGCATGTTATTTGGTGGAAATATAAATATTTTAGTAGTATTGTTAGTTTGAATTCACAAATACAGATTGATATTAAAGAGGATTCATATCAGATATACATATATACAATAATCATTTACATTGTGAACTGGTCAATAAATACTTGTTTGGTTAAACGTAATATTTAATTACACTTACAGCATATAGTACAAAAAGGATAGATAATATAACAATTTTCGATGGAAATCATTGTGTCTTATATTGTCTATATAGAAAGCAGCACGTGCATATCTTTCTTCAATCAACAAGTATATATCTTCCGCTGGAAAACTTATATTGTCCCTTTTCTGGAATATAAATAGATTACTGTTAAAAAAAACGAAGAATTTTTAAGTGTTCAGCAAATGCATTTTTGAAGGTGGCGTTGATGCTAATAATATGAATATAAGGTTATCTGAAGGTGTTTGTTTTCTTCATGGAATTTACAGTGACGCTATTTAGAAATTGTAATTTTTGATGCAATAACGTTCTCCGTAACATTAACTTAAATATCCTATTTCTGATTATTACATCTTTGAGTTCTTGAACGCTCTGGATGACAAAGATTTAGAAACAAAATGGCGAAATTAAATATGTTAGTACATTTCAGGCGAAGACACAAATACTTCTTTTTCTGATTTAATAAAAAAGTAAGTAATACCTATATTGACAAAGAGAGCTGCTTAGAAAACGATCAATCATTTGTATCTCTAATTGAATTATATAAGGTGTTCTGAAATTATGATATAAGCCCCTATGAGAATTTTTTAAAAATGATGTCATAACTTTTTTTCAGCTATTCAGTTAATTTTTACAAAGTTAGCGTTATTATACTAATAACAAACTGCATTAGTAAACCTCTAACTTCTAAAGTAAAAGGGTTTTATTGACTCTTATTGAATGGAAAATTGATCATGATTCTTTTAACTTATTGTAATTAAATTTTTGAAAAAGTGTTGTAGATACTCACACTATTATTAGATACTACTGCTACTATAGGTATTTCCTTATTTTTTGTTTATATTTTTCGGACTCCCTGTATGTATAGAAATGTTAAAATTTTTAATTCCTCTTATACCCGGTTTTTCAATCTTTGTTTAACACTTAGAGCCGGTTTTTCCGTAGTAAAGTAAAAAAAAATAAACATGAATTTATTAATTAATTGTTTATTAAATGCTTGCATGTTAAAAGAAAATTATTATTGCTTAAACTAAACTTAAACTTAAACTAAAACATAAGAAATTAAAGTGATGGTTAAATTTAATTTCGGAGTTAACCAACGATTGAAAAACGGCCCTAAAGGCTTACAATTTACTTCAGAAAAAATTGTTGCTTATCCAAAATCTACGAAAATAAAGGCGTTAACAATGAATGAACACTTGAGCCGTTTCTAGTTAATATGGAGTGACAGTCATAGAATGACGTATCGCTTGTCTGTTTTCTTATTTTAGAGGACTGATGAGAAATCTCAACTTCCCATTTTAAAGCAAATTTAAGCAAGAGTAGATCGGTAGTAAAGCGAACATTTTTATAGTTTGCACCACTTTTTCCTTAATAGAATGCAGGACATTTTGTTTTTTTACAACGATTTTAGTTAATTTGTAATTTTGTACATTAGAGCCAAAATATCAATTGATTGTGAAAAATATTCACATTTTTAAAAAATATTATTTAAGAATCGAAGAAATACGACACCATTGGATACTTTGGAAATTCGATTACCTACTGCTTTTAAGATAAAAGACCTTCTTCCAGTTAGGCATTACTTTTGTAATTCTAGGTAATTCTGAAACTACTCATTTCGACGCTGAGGACGTTTAATATTAAATGAAAATATTGTTGAGCACTGAAGAAACAAAAAAAAAAAATAGAAACTTTACAGTTTCTCGCTTGTCTTCTGCTACTTTTAGTAAAACGCAAAATTTCTACATCTGACATTTTTATTAATACATTGTATTTAAAATTCAATTACTAGAAAAATAAACTTTTTTTTGGGAAACGAGTAGTAGGTCCAAAATTATTTTAGATTCATTTATTTTATTTGATAATTTTAATATAATTTAAAAAAGGATAAATTTAAACTGGTCTCTCTCTCGAACAAAATGGACGTGATATTTTTTCTTAAGAACAGTATCAGGGATAAGTGATTTAACTAAAATATTCAGTGAATTTTTGAGGCTATGAAATATCTTCTGTTATATCCGCAATGGTTGACACTATGGGCGTAGCTAAGATTTTTGCTTGGGATGGGCCCAGAACTGCTGCAAGCTCTACGGAGGTCTAAAAAAAACTCGCAATCAACGACTTCCCGATATAATATTTCAAAATCTAAGCACTCTTTCATTCAATTCTAAAAAAAACCTTACCGACATGAGAAAGATGCTATTATTGGATCTTTTATTTTCTGGGGTGGGCACTGGGCTTTCTGGGGTGGATCGTGCACACCTCTGCCCCCTAGCTACGCCCATGGTTGACATATTTGCTTTATAGGGTTCTTTTTTTAATGTTGGCTTCTCAATTTCAAACTTAAGTTTGGCTAATAAATTGGGAAATATTCTGTACACTGATATTTCTCGCCAAATTTAATGGGATGGCAAATGTAAAAATTTTTCTTAATAATATAATGACGTGTGCCTTAAAAAGTCTTTTTTATGTTGAAGTTTTTGCCACAGTTTTATATTAATTATATTTTATCGAATTTATCAAAACGAAGTTTGAAAACTGGAAAAAACAAAAATTACATAAAACTACCCTCATTGTTTGAAAGAATCCTCTGATAATAATAACGCACTTAATAAAAATTGAAGTTAATTTTTTTCGTTAACTTTATACTGTGTTTTTGGCAATGTATTACAATTAATTTATTCGATTAAACTAATTTGAATGTTATCGTTGATAACGCAATAATTATCAAATAATCATACTACACTTATCTACATATGATTCAAATGTATAGGTTAATAAAATATAATACATCTTAAGTTTTTATTTGATTACAAATAAAGAAATACATACAATAAATTTAACACAAGTGAATATTTTAGTTTGTGGAGTTACCTGAAAAATAAAAAATATATGGATAACAAAAATACATAGGTAAGTAACATAAATAATAATAATTTTGTGTTTGTGAAAGCCGCACTGAATAGATACACTAATAATTTCATTAGAATCATTCAAAAATATATTCAAATTGTAATTGCTTCTATTCAATTAATAGATACTTCACTGTAATAATTCCATTAGAATCATTCAAAAATATATTTAAATTGCAATTGCTTCTATTCAAGGAAGCAGTCAGTGGCGGCCCGTGGGTTTGAAAAGCCGCAGGCGAACAATTTTAAGGAATTTGAAGGTCATTGTGTTTTGCAAGTACCCCAAAATGAATACTGTCAGTGTGTGTAGCTACTTAGGTACAATGCGAGAAATAAAATTCCAACGTGTGGGGCTGAAGTGGATAATCGATCAACCAACCCAGTTACGATATAATTATGTAGATTACTGTAATAGTTCATTCTTTATAGTTTTTGAAGTTCCTTTAAAAACATGGGCATCACTAAGATGTTTATCTAAAACGGGATACATTTTTGCACTATAGTCTATCAGTTCTAAAAATACCCCTTTGTTTACCGAGTCACTTTTTTTATTATGTCCACGAAGAGAAAGGTTACATGTACCACATAGTTTTAAGATATTTAAAATTTTTGAAAGAAGCAATCGATTTTTCTTAACTGTTTCGTTATGACTATTTACTATTTATTTGTTCTACATAAGCACTATTTAAACAAGAAGCAATATTTACTCTTCCTAAAAGTAAAAAACTCACCAACTTATTTTGGTGTTTAGGAGAATTTTCATGTTTCTTAATTTTAATTTCTAAATGTTTCAAGTCAGAAACTCCAGTTTTCGTCCAGTTTTCTTCGCCTCCTCCAAACAATAAACATAAAAAACAAAATATCTATTTGTTTGGTCACAACCACACAACCACAGGGTCTTATCATAAATGTTTTTATCAAATTTGCGAAAGCCGACCCACTTTTTGCACTCTTTCTGCACCTCAACTAAATTCAACACTGGCGTTGGACGTCCGTTATTTTTCAATTCGACTTTTTCCTCTAAACTTAAATTACTAATAACAAGTTTTTTTATTTCACAAACCCTCATTTTAAACTTAAACTTATAAAATATAATGTCTTAAAAAGTGCCAAAGCAAAAACAAAACACATATAGCCACACTTCAGTGATACGGGTTACTGCCTCATGGAGTCCCAAAACAAAGCGCGCGAGCGCGCGAGTCTATCGTCGCCTATCCCCTCCACGTGCCAATTTGTCCAATCATTTGTAAAAATATGCTTGCACGATGGACTCAGATTTCACGGTCCGCGATGGAGTGGGGATTGCGCGCGTGGTTAAACATAACTCTTTGGTACGCTCATAGATGGCAGATGGCATTAATCTGAGCTACGTTCACGGAGTACATGCACTTTATGCAACCAACCTAACATCCAAGAGATATTGAATGCATGCTATTTAGATTTCTTATTGATTTAAATAAATACATTATTTTAAGTTTATAGTTTGAAAATATCTGGGGGGGCGGAGTCCCAGAGTCCTCCTTCACGAGCCGCCACTGGAAGCAGTGTATCAAAACAATTGTAACGATCACCCTATTTGGTGTCTGAGCGGTGTATTCAAACCCTCTTTGCTAGAGGAGGTAGCTGCCACCACCCCAGCTGGTGATCTGCCGGGGAAATCGTCGCTCTTCGGAGGGTGGGTGTCGTAGCCCTAAAGGTTTGGGATTGAGCTCCAATATAAACACCGCTAGTTCAAATGATACTTTTATTAAGTTATGCTGTCACAAAGAAACGAACAAAATAAACAAAAAAAGAAACAATTCCTATACAACAAACAAAATTTCAGTACTTCTTCGGTCCTGGGAGTAGGTTGTAACCTCTGGTACCCTAGAGAGAATTTTTTATATGTCTTACCCTTCCTT